ATATATGTATAAACACACACATATATATATACACACAATAGAATATTAGCCTTAAAAAAGGAAATCTTGCCATTTGTGAGAAAAAACCTGTCATAGAAAAGACAAATATTGTATAACTCATATATGTGAACTCTAAAGAAATTAGTCAATGAAGCAGAGTAGAGGGTGGAAGAAATAAAGGATTTAGGTCAAAGGGTGAAAGTTTACAGTTAATACATAAAGACTGGAGATGTAAAGGGTGACTTGGTATGTTTAGTAATAATGCAATATACACTTGAAATTAGCTAAAGGTTAAATATTAAGTGCTCTCATCACAAAAAATAATAACTATGTGAGGCAATGAATATATTAATTGGCTTGATTATGGTAATCATTTCATAGAGTACACATACATGAAAACATCATGTGGTACATCTTAAATAGGTATAATACTTATTTGTCAACTCTACCTCAATAAAGCTGTAGGAAAACAAAAGCGTAAAACTTGTAGCAAAACGTCACTGTATTAAAATCTAATGAGGAGAGTCGGGTGTGGTGGCACACAGCTGTAATCCCAGCACTCGGATCATTATGAGTTCAAGACCAGCCTGGGCTACAAAGTGAGTTCAAGGTCAGCGTAAGCTGCATAGCTAGACCCTGTCTCAAAAATGACAAAAAATAAAATGAGTAAAATCCAATGAGGAGAGTATTTGAGACAGTTGTAAGAATCACAGAATTTTAACTAGTATATAACACACAGAATGATGCACTTGACATTCTTATTGCTAGTAGGATTTACGCCACCTGACAATTCGTTCTGCTTTGGGTCAGGGCTCAGTTCCAAACAGCGCTTGGACAGGCTGCCCCTTGGAATACTTGAGAACCCAGTGCAGAGGGATGAGTTGTGTGAGGTTCGATGACACACCATTTTGCACATCTGCTGCTACTCCCGCTTGTATCTCCTACTCAGTGGACTCAGAACTCTTCAAATGCAGGCTCTGTTTATAATTCCCAGTCAGTATTCCCAATGCCTCGTACAGAGCTTGATGTAAAGAATGGGCTCCACTGATGCTGGCTGAATTAAAACAAACTATTCTGGAATTATTCTGGGAAGGGTACCAATATTTAAGGGGTGACTTATTCAGTGCCAGCCATGTGCAACATGCAACCTCGTTTAAGGCTCAGAGCATCCCCAATGGAAGTGGAGTACCTATTGCCACTGTTGAGCTGAGAAACGAATCTAAATTCACAAAGGGGCCCATCAGATTCCAAAGTTCTTGGTTGATACTGCCCAGAAGAGTACCCCTCGCTATTGTGAGGGTGAGATAAATTATATGGGAAACACCCCAGACTGTGCTTAGAACATCAGAAGTAACACACACACACACACACACACACACACACACACCCCTTTGCTATTCCTCTTACTACTTTGGTGTTTCTCAGAGAAGACAATAAAACACTGTTGATTGTTCCTTATGTCACACTTAATAAAGACACTGGTATTTAAAAAACAGTAAACCCACACTTACTTTAGATCAGTTATTTCTTGACATATTCAGTAGGCTACGACACACTCCTTTTGGGTTGGTTTACTTTAACCCAGAGGGCCGGCAGATCCTCAGTGGGTAGCTAATGCAGTTAGGTGTGTACGTCAGGACTGCTTCCGGCCTAGAGTTGGGAACAGTTGCAGCCTGATGCCACTGTGGGATCTCATAGGAATATGCCCAGCTCCCACGGTGGACTTTGTCCAACACTGAATATAGTCTTCTATCCTAATACTTGGCCAGCTCAGTGTTCTGAATTCCCTTCGCCACATGTGTAACCACAATGTCACCTGGAAACTGAAGGAGGTGGCACGACTGTGAAGGCCACAACTCTCACATTCTGGGTTCTGAAAAGCACGTGTAAGGCTAGGATGCCCACGGCTACTCTCAGCTATGGGTCCACCTTGTTTCTGACAGGGTCTTTGCCTCCGTCCCATCACCCTGGGGTACAATGACCCAGTCCCCTGACACATGCAGCAGTGTCCTACCCTCTTTTGGCTATACTTTCTGAGACTTCTCGGTTTCCACAAATTGGATCCAGATTCCAGGATGCGTCTAAGTGACGAATCTGAAAAGTTCTGTTCATCTTCTCTGAGTTGTTGACCAGCCTGAGTTTTCTGCACAGAGTACAGAAGAGTGCTCCATGACAACTTGTCCTGGTGTAACTTGGGGGATGTTGGACAGACCTGAGTTAGTTCCCTAGTGTCCACTAGTAGATTTGCTGGTCACAACAGAGGTACAGAGAAACTGCTGGTCAGGGATGGGACCTCCTTTCCTCCCACCTTGGGGGTTTCTTCTGATCGACTAACTATTCCCCCAAGACTGCATCCCCCCAGTGACCTCACAAATTTTTCTCGTCTTTATGTAAATTACCATCTTTTCAGGAGGTGCCTGACAGCCAAGTTTTTCAGGGCCTCCATTTGTACAGAAGCTGTTATTACGGAATAAGTTTAATGGGTCGTGAATTTTGCAGAGAAAGGGAGGGGCTCTGGATGACTGTGTATGTACCAACCACCGACCTATTGGTTTCACAAGGAGTGCATTAGGCTAAATATTTTTAGCCCATTGACTGTAGAGGTAATAACCCTAAATGCTTCATTAAATTTTTATGGGTGAACGACAGAAACGCTGAAGGAAAAAAAGGAAAAACAAAATCCCCAAACCAAAAAGCAAGTCCACCACATTAGCGTTCTTACGACACTGCTGGAGTACAGGTCTGCAGTCCCTGAGAAGAATAAAAAAAAAAAAAAAAAAAAAAAAAAAAAAAACCAAAAAAAAAAAAACAACAAAAAAAAAACTTTTAAAGAACTATTGTCTATCTCTTCCTTCCTCTACTTGGTCAGCTCATGCTTAGAGTACACAGGCCCTTCCACCTGGCCTCTGGAGATAGGGGCGCCCCGACGGGTTTTGACAAAGGGAGTCCGGTCTCAGTGGAAGAGCGTGCTTCATTTGATGTTTCTGGAATTTTAGCAAGCTAGGGTGGAAAGGAGGGAGCCATAGATTGGGCTGCTCTAAGCTTAAATCTGTCTCGGTTTTTGATCAGAGGATTGTTACTCTAACCATCTAAGGATGGAGAGAGGGCCAATGAGGGGGCAGGGGGATGCCTACCCCCTGGATGCGACTCACTCCAGAGGATAAACACGCGGAGACACAAGCCTTTCCCTCTCCCTGGCTGGCTTTGCTCTCAAGCCTAAGCGTAGCCCTGAGGAACCACGAGTCTCCGTAGCTGGGCGCGAGCGCCCCCTCCTGCATGGCGCGCACCGGGGCAACAAGTGCCGCCTGAGCCTCGGTTCCCGAGGTCGCCACCAGCCTCCCTCTCTTCGGGCTTAGCAGAGACGGTGGACCCCAGAGAAAGGAGGCCTGGTCCTCCGCTGACGCTGGCAACTGTGGGGCACATACTGGGTCAATTGCTCAGCCAGCCTCTCCCTTTCTCGTCCCTGCGCACGCAGCTCTGCCCGGGATGGGGAGTGCGCGGGGGCAGGGGGTTTGTGTCCAGTTCATTCGCGGCCACCGAGCCCTCACCCCGGCTCTGCGCTTTGGCGGATCTCTGGGCGCGCGGGACAGAGCTGAAGGCTGGCAGCAGGTGAGCGGTTGGCTGCGGCGGCGGGCGGGGCGCAGGGAGGCGGGTCTGCGCGGCGTCTCCTCCCCCTGTGTGACGCGGCCGGCTCCCGGGGAGGACGGGCCCTGCTCCATGCTCGCCGGGGCTTCCGGGGCTGGAGCGCGCCTGAGAGCCTCCGCGCCGGGCATGGGGAGCCGCTTCCCGGGCGGCTGCGGCACGGAGGAGGATGCTCCGGGCAAGCCGAGGTGAGGCGCGGCAGGGGTGCGGGCAGGGTCCCCAGCCAGGTCGGCAGAGGGCTAGGGGTCTCTCTTAGGAGTTGGGCTGGGGGGCTGCGGGTGGCGACTGCTGCAGTTTCTATTCTGTCCCTCCACTTACTGGGAGGAAAAGGGAGACCTTTGCTTCTCTCTGCTGGCTCCCCACCTCCACTCCCTACTTCTGTCTGCGTGCGAGCCTTTCTCCAGACTTACCTACGCGAGCCGCCGGTCTCCCAGACCCACCCCCCGCCCGCGGCCCGGCTCCCCGCTCCGTCCACTCCACAACCCGCCCTGTGCGCCCCAAACCACCTCCGCGCCTCGCTGGCAGCGCCGGGGCTGGAGCCGCTTCGCACTCTGCCGCGATCTTCCTGGGAGCCGATCTGTCCCAGGGACCCCAAGCCCTGAGGACGCTGTCAGAGGCGTTATTGCGCTCCTCGGACCCCAAGCCTCCTCCGGTCTCCCGCATCCCAGCCTCAGGCTCACAGCTCCCCGCTACTGCCCCCCAGCCCGGCGCGCCCCAGTGCTTTCTCCGCTTCCCGGAGCTCAGTTTTATTTTCTACTGGGGAAACTTTAAAGCCCTGTGGTTTGGCTTATTGAGGGAACCTAAACAGGGTCTCCCCCGCCGGGAAAACCGGCTTCACCGTCCGAGGACTGGACGAGTCGCCGCGCTGGAAAGAGGCGCGGGGTGCGCGTGCAAAGTGCGTTCCCAAACGCGTCCTTCCCGGCTGCGTCCCGCGGAGTAGAATTGTGACCCCTGGCGGGAGGGCGCGTCTTTCCGTCGCACTTTTTCTTCTACCTTTTTTTTTCTTTCGGTAGAGCTGGTGGGCCGGGCGGGGGCGATGGGGCCGCCCAGCGAGGCAGGTGCCATGTGGTGCTCGGTGGCCTACCCGGGCGGGCAGACTGGGTTCGGCTCTACCATAGGAAGTCTTCCCAGCCCCCACGGCGTCACACAAGTCCTCATTGTCGGGGGTCTGCGGGGCGCTTCCGCCCGCTGGGCTGGGGCCGGGGCGGGCCGCGTGGGGGCGGAGTAGAGAGCCCCGGGCGTGCCGCGGAGCCGGGTGCGCGCTTGCTCGCGGGGCCGGGTTCGCCTGCTGGGTTCTGGCCACCGGAGGCCAAGCTCTGAGCTGCGAGTGCGAGGCCGGAGCCACGGCTGCTCCCCTCGGCTAGCTGTGGCTGGGAAGCGCCCTCCCACGCGCAGCGCCCTCTCCTGCTCCAGTTTTGCTGGCCCGCGAGACGCTATGTGGCTGGTTTTGAAAAAAGGCCTTGCGGGGGTTCCGCGGACGCTTCACAACACTTAACAAGTTTGCTGGTAATCATATCAATTAGCGGTGGCTTAGGGTTCCGAACCTCCAATTACTCGATTTAGGTTGGTACATTTACGTGCCAATTATAGGTCTTGAGGAGATCCGTAAGCATCCCCACCCCTTGAATTACCACCCATTGTTTTTGTGATCTGGATGGTGAAGGACCTGGAGGGAACCCTGAATGGTAAAGCTACCGGGTGGGGAGAGGGTAGGTGGAGTGCCAGCGCGCCCCTCGGCCTGCTCCTGCCCCTCCTTCTGACTGGGCTGGGTGACAGTTCTACAAACTGAAAGGGATCAGAGATTTTCCTGATTTCCCATTGAGAAGGGTGACCTAATCAAAGCGGTATAAAAGTCAACTTCTAAGCAATCAGAAATTGTCTGCCGATGTCCTTGATTGAAAGAAAACCGAGCATTCAAATGGAGTATTGAAGAACTCGCAGAAATGGCTTTTGAAGCGCTATTGTTCTTTTCCACACACTGAGGCCCTTTTCAAGGTTTAGTAAGTTCAAAATGCTGTGATTTGAAAGGGCTGCTCCATCACTATTTGGCCACCCTGGCGGGATCTGTGGGGACGAAGAAGAGGAGCCAGGGTGGGAAGTGCAGGCCTGGTTACCGCTTCCCGGGCCGCTGCCGCTCTCCAGCGGAGATTCAGTTCTAGACGTCAACTTGGCGCTAAAGTCCCTTCCTGAAAAGGATCCAGAGGATGATTTCGTAGTAGGGTTCCTATTTTGATGGTTTGCTTAAGGTCTGAATAGGCATATCTGAAACATTTAATCATGCGTATTGTATTCAACAATAAAATCTAAATAAAAATTACCTATTGTTGATGAAGCTATCTCACAAGCAGTTTCCCAGTAAGCCTCATTTGCAAGATGCACCATTGTGTGAGGGCTGAAGGAGGGGGTTGTATCCCTTATTGTTCTTTTCCTCCTTCCAGAGCCAGAGAGGAATATGCTTCTTGGCTCTCCTTTGCCCTCCAAAGTAATTTTTCTGAAATGGATGGGTGTGTGGGCTCCTACCTGATCTTATCCATTTAAAAATTGCGTTCGGTGGGTTTCCCAGGCTCCGAGCCATCCTACAGGCAGATGAAGAACCTATTTGAGGCAGCATTTCATTCTGATAATTTACTCAAGCCAAACATTTTGTTTTTGCTGGGATTTAATCCTCCTCTCAAACTAATAAAGCAAACAAAGCAAGAAAATCACGTTTGGGTCTTGTAGATGGCACTTTAAAAATAGCACACATTAGAGGGTGTTGTCAGGAAGTTTAAGTGTTATTTAGAACTCACTGCTACAGAGAATGTTCACTAGTTAAGCAAGTGAGGATAAATTACTTCTCAAGCCCCAACTCACCACCTACAAACCAGGCACAATTATTCACCTTGTGGGACTGGTGATTTCAGAGTGCAAATCGGATGAGTGCTTTGGCTCAGAGGAGGATTTCAAGGGAATGGTAACTTTTAGTAGCAAGAATTCTGTCAAAGAAAGTAGACAGCATTTGGAATGTGAAGAAGGCCAGGACTGAATCCAGGTACTGTCTTTGTGATGTTTGGCAAATCACCTCTCCTGTTACTAAAAAGAATAATCAACCACTATGGGCTACTTAATGTCAGGTACCCTTCTCATCACTTTACACACATTGATCTTTAAATAACTGGAGTCAGCAGACACTCCCATACCCACTGATAGGTTCCCATTGCCAGGGAGCGTTGGCAGTTGGGTGTTTGTATTGCTCAGCATGTGGCACTTGGAACCAGGGCTTTGAACCCACTCATTCTGGTTCCAGGGTTGCCCATGACCACATGGTGTGACATCTCGGAAAGGGGAGGAGATCCTAGCTGTCTCCCAGCTTGCACAAGAGACAAACATGAACTAGACTTCCGCAGAGGCAAGCCACAGGCTGTGCCCATGTCTTGTGCTAACAACGTGCAGTGGTTGCCGCTTTTAGGCTCACAGGGCAGGGTGCTAATGGTAGGCAGCCATCTTGGATACATGGAACGCTGGGGCAGTGACCAGCAGGTATTGGTCAGCGTCAGTTCACGTCCATCTATGCATCTGTGGAAATACTTATTCATTAGGTAACTAATTGTAAATAATTACACAATTAATTAATAATACAGAGATTGTTGATTAGTATTACTGTTAGCAGTGACTAGCAGAAGTAAGCAGAAATTCTCACGGTAAAAAGCAGTATAGCAGGTAGTGAGAAGTTTGACCTGGGCTGCTGGATCACTGGGCTTTACACACCAGCTCCCTGGGCTTGGCAAGCTCTGTGGCCACAGCCAGCTACCCTAACTTCTCTGCGTTTCATTTTCTGTGTAATAAAGTGACAATGCCTACCTCATAGGATTCTTGTGCAGGTTCTGAGAATTAATGCAAAGTGCGTTATATGTAGTACCTAGGTGTGGTAGGTAATGTTTCTTTGCTATTAATATATTATCTTCAACTGCGATAAACATCCTTCCCTGTGGTAAGCAGAAGGATTATTTGTTCTTTTTGTGTTTCTTTCCTAACTAGGGTTTAAAGAGCCAGAGAAAGGGCTCAGGATTTCAGGAAAATATTTTCTTTTGCTCTCTTTTATTGGAAATATTTTCTCGAGCATTGCCTGTGAAGAGGAGTTGGAGCAGTAAAAATCGTGCTAAAATCTCTGGGTCATTGTCTTTTCCAGCAGTTATTTCAAGGAAAATAAGAAAACTTTGACAGATTGCACTCTAGAAGTGGACTAGTAAACTTGCCCAGTTTACAGATTGGAAGAACAAATCAGGCTTGGGGAGACATACAACTCTGCCACAGCAGCACTGCTACAGCCCTGAATTCTTAGACTCCCTTTCCAGTGCTACTCCCAGGAGACTCGGTTGTCTCCTATCCCAGGATAGAGAAGGGGTTTGAAAACATGAATAAAATTTGGCAGGGAAGGTGTAGTCGGGCTAAGAGCGTGAACCAGCCAGATATTCTGTGCTGAGGAGTGTCAGTAAGAAACCCACGTTTAGGTCCTTGCAAACCTGCACTGCACTGTGTCAATAAAATGCATGTCAGGGTCTGAATTTGTGTGCACACAAATAGAACAGACAGCCTATTATGCCAATTAATCACCTGAACATTTCCCCGAGGTTGGACAGCCACTGTTCAGGTTTCTTTTTCTGTGCCACTCTCTTTGCATTGTTCTTCCATTTAGTCCTCAGATAGGGGAAGGTTTTGGTTCAGGAATCATAAAACTCCTCTGGCTTCTATTTCATGAAATATGCAGCATATTCTATTGGAAATAAATTGCCAGCTTGCTTTTATTATTTTATTTTATTTGAGCCTGACATACAACCAATCTGCAGTGCCAGTGGGGGAGTCTCATAAAAAGAAAGGAAAACAGAAGTAGAAACCTGCTGAACAGAAAGCTTACAGCTAGCATGATGAAAGTTTAGGGATGTGCAGGTGGGTGGTTTAGCTTAGGGCCCTCTCAGAGGGCTGCACTTAGCACAGAATGTGCTTGGGTGGGCGGCGCTGAGCACCTCGGTGAGCCCAAACTTTGGTCCAGCCTGCATACGATGTTCTGCTCATCTCTTGGGGGCCGTTCTCTGTTGCTAAGTTGGCTGTCGATCTGCTAATGTCTGTCCATCAGGGGAGTCATCTCCTCCTTTGCTTTTTATCTGTTTCTCCTTGTTTCTGTCTCAGGCTGTATCCATTAGTCTTTCTA